AGAACATCAGGCTGGCTGGATGGAGGGAGGAAGTTTGTCAACCCCCACTTCCGATGTGGGGGAGACAAGGGCTCACTCTGCAGCCAGGGCTGGTTTTGAACTCACAATCCTCCGGCCTGGGCCCCCCGAGCGCCCGGACGGCAGCCCGGTGGAAGGAGGCCGGTCTCATGTTTGAAGTTGTCGTACACAGGGGTGTCAGTCCAACCTGCCAGATGACGGTACGACGCGCCCCTGGACCCATGTCACCGCCTTCCTCATTGCCCTCATCTCTCCCAACTCCACTCCTCAATGACACTGAAGATGACGACTGCAGCCTCTCCATCCATTCCCCCGCTACCCCTCCTCTTCCTCCACACCGCAGGCTCCGGCCTGCTGGGTCTCCTTTTTGTCAAACTGTAAGTTCGTGGTTCAGAGGGGTTATACCACCGGAACTCTTCCCCGCACATACCACCCGCACGTTATTGTGTTCGTGTGAACATGCAATATGGGCCTGTAGATGTTTGCCTATTTATTTATCATCTAGATCCAACTTCCACATAGGAGAGAAAACATGTGTCATTCGTCTCTGGGTTTGGGGTTTTTTTTCTTGTTGTTTTTTGTCGGTACTGGGTCTTGAACTCGGGGCCTGAGCCCTGTCCCCAAGCTTCTTCTCTGTTAGGTGAAAGGTGCATGGCCTCCTGCGTGTCACAGGGGAAGCAGGGGCAGGCCAGGGCCCATACCGTGCCGTGCGGAGGGACATTAACCCTGAGCGCCGGTCACAATGATGAGGATTGGTGAGCAGTGTCCCGATGCCAGCAGTGACTGAATCCCAGACACAGTCGCTTTGGCTGTAGAGCCCCTGGCCAGCCTCGGCCTGCCAAGAAGAGCCAGCTAGCAGGTAGTCACAGAGGAAGACATAGTCTCACGCTCCAGATCCAGGGATTTTGCTTCCACTGGACGCACCGGTGCCAGAGGACACTGGACTTGCTGCAGCCCAGAGTGGGAGGAAGGACAGGGCCCTCAGGGACAGAATGGATAAGCGACCTGCGGGAACTTTGCGAAGGCTTGCTGCACACCTGCCAGCCCCCCCCCCAAGGATGGAGCGGCAGGAGCACCCCCCCCCAGAAAGACCCACACGCCGCCCTCCACCCTCCAGGGCCCTATGAGAACGCCGGGCAACGCTGTGTCCGCAGCCTGACCGCTCACCGCAGCCTGAGCCGGGCAGGGAAGGCTCCCGTCTCCAGTTCGTTTTTTTGCCTTTTTAATTTAGATGAGGTCTAATACTGGGAGTGCTTAAAGGGCGTGGAGGTCGGGAGGTCGAAGCCGAGGAGGTCTGATCGGAGAGCACATTGAGAGGACAGGATGGGAAACAAAGCCAGAAGCCGCGCTCAGAACGAGGGTCCAAGGGTCGTCGGACACCCCGAGTCCCACGCCAGGAGCCCAAGTGTGGGAGCCGCAATGCCCTCCTCCCAGGACGCACCAGCGTGGAGGAGGAGGTGAAGAGAACACGCACGCACGCACACACACCACGGAAGAATGGACGTATTCCAGATCGCCAAGCCCCATTCCTGCGCCCCATTTCGTCTCTGCCTGTGAACCCCCAATCATAATCAAAAAGGCAACCACCGTAAGTACCTATTGACTAAAGCTAACTGGCAATGGAACCGTTCTACAAGGCTGAGTGCTCTGCCTCGGGGCCAGCAGAGGCTCCCGTGTCCATCTGTCCATCCATCCATCCATCCAGACATCCATACATCCATCCATCCATCCGAGAGGATGAAAAAGGAAACGGTGTGGGCTTGAGGTCGCTAAGACATTCCTGGAAGCCCAAGCCACAGTTCTGACTCCCGGCCCCCATCATTCCACCTTCCTTCTGCTCTACCATAGCTGGAAGCAAAAGCATGACCCCTTCATCAATGCCCACTTTTCTCGTTGGCCAAGTACAGCCCAGGGTAACCAGGTGCTGTCTTGTATGGGGACAGCATTCGGGGATAATTACACCGGGTCTTGAAACAACTGAGCTATGTCCTTCATGGTCCGGCTGCGTCTCACAGCCCTTCCCCAGCTCTCTGCAGACAGGAGTGGCTGGGGAAGCAGAGCCTGGGTGCTCTGCCCTTCAGCTGCATAGTGCAGGCCTCCGGGCCTCCGCTTCCTCGTCTCCACAGTTGGGTATTAACCTAATACACCCAGGATCCGTGTCCGAATGAACAGACCATTGCCCTGCATCCTCCCAGGGTGCAGAAGGAAGTTGGGAAGCACCGCATTAGCATGTAATAAAGGCACGCTCGCCATATGCTAGAGACTTAAAGAAAGAGACAATCTTTTGCGGCAGGGCAATAACGACTTTCACGTCCAGAAAAGAGGATGCCCAAAGAGCCCTCTCATATGCCCACGGTAAGCTTCGGCTCCTCAGTGTACCTCTCCCACCCCCCAGAGGCCCAAAACACCACAGGCCTGGGTCCCAGTCCCTGGTACTAGTGCAAGGTGGTGACCTCAGTGGGTGGGGCCTAGGGGGAGGAAGTTATTGGCGTTGCTCCCTTGAAGGGATATGGCCATCTTGGCCACTTCCTGACTCAATGCTTTGCTTTCAGGCTACCTTGAGGTGAACAGATCTCCACCACCAAGCCATTCACCATGATAGATATGCAGAGGGGTGGGGTAAAAGGGGGGAGGAGGCCGAGTGACCATGAATTGAGAACTCTAAAGCCATGGATGAAATTAAATTCGTCCTCCCCTATCAAGTTCGTTTGCTTGGGTGTCTGGCCACAGCCGCAAGATGCTAAGGCACCCATGGTTCACACATGTCAGCTGAGAAGGGAGTGGATACGAAGAGATGGGGTTCCCCGCAGGTCTTCTGGTCCCCATATCTTTTCACTCTGTTTTCTGGACCAAAGTGCTCAAAGCAAGGAAATGCCAAGGTTGTATCTGGCATCTGGGCATTTTACTCATGTCTCCTAAAATTAGTCCTAAACACCATCGGGCTTGATAGAGATCAGAAAGCAGCGTGCGTAATTCTAAACAGCCTTGCCTTGCCCCAAACACTAACCTATGTTCTTTAAGTGACCCGACTCTCAAGAACAAGGCTTGCTTTCGCTGGGGCTACCTGTGTAGAAATGTTTCTCCTAGTTCAACCAGGGCCAAGGGAGAGGGAGAGGAGAGCAGGGGCCAGGAGAAGCTGAGGACAGCTGACGGGAGGTACCAGCCTGATGCAGCCGACACGGGGACAGGCTGTTCCAGAAACAGGATGACAATTAATGGGAAAAATCTGCTCTCCCAGCACTGCCAAACACGCTGCCCCACCCCAGCTGCCCCCAGGCCTCCATCAGGGAAGAACAAGCCTTCCCTTCCCTTCATGGCCTGATGTGTTCTCACGTGGAAGGGGGAAGAGCTAAGGAAGCTCCTTCCCAGGTAGAAAAGAATAACATTACACACGTGAGTGCCAGTCCTCAAAGCCAAAAGCCCAAGGATTACCCCGAGGTAGAAGGCACTGAGCCACTCAGCCCATCTCATGTGAACCTGCACAGCTCTGTTTAACACATGGTCAGCGCTGGCAGATAACAGGCCACAAGTCAAGATGTTTCTGTTCTTATTTGGTGTTAAGTCATCAAACTCCATCCCCTCTTTTAATTTCCTGTGTGTGTGTTTCTCTTGGACAAAATGTTTTAGCTGGTTCGAGAAAACCTGGCTTGGAACGGCCGTCATTTCAGTTCATCAAAAGCAGAGTTACACAGCTGGCCGCCGCTGGCTCACGCCTGTCATCCTAGCTACTCAGGAGGCTGAGATCTGAGGATCAGGGTTCAAAGCCAGCCCGGGAAGGAAAGTCCAAAGTGAAATACCAGAAAACCAGAAGTGATGCTGTGGCTCAAAGTGGTAGAGCACTAGCCTTGAGCAAGAATGCTCAGGGACAGCGCCCAGGCCCCGAGTTCAGGCCGCATGACCAACAACAACAACAACAACAAAAGCAGAGTTACAGAAGAAGACTCCTGGAAAACTAGAGAAGTCTGCCCTTCTGTCATTCAGTGTCTTCTTAGAATATCAGCGTTCTGAGCATATCATAAAATGAATATACTAGTCTCCCATAAATCCACCTTCAACCGTCACTGTGGACAAACACATTAGCGTTTGCACGTGGATGTCACTACTGGACATTCCTTCAGTCCCTGAGTCCCGAGGTCGTGACCCCCACACAGCCATACAAGCTCATCTTCCTGCATCTCACAGGGACCTTTATCCACTCCTCCCCACCCACCCCTGCCCGACCCTCAGCCCCCCCCCCCCCCACACACACACACGGAAACCCCAGCTGTGAGCACTGATGGAAAAACCTAACGTTTCTCCTTTGGAACTGGCACCCAGTCTCCTCTCGGCGGCTGGGTTCCATCCACCCCTGTGACGGGACAGGTGGATGCTAATGCGCCATGTTAACCCCGCTCATGCCCGGCCCCTGGCCCCAGCCTTGGCAGGGTGCCACCTCCCGCCACCCCACCCTGCCTTTCACGGGGCTGCGCGCTCCATGCGTGGGGTGGCAGCTGGCCAACGGAGGGAGAGACCTGGTGTTGCTCTTGGCATCGGCTCCGGAACTCTGTGTCGGGCTACGGGCGGAAGGAACTGCCCTGGCGCCGGCCGGTTTTTGGCGCCGGCGTCCACCAGTCCGTGTCAGGCTGGGTGGTTCCTTCCCAGCCGGACTCCCAACACCGCATCCTCTTCATCTGCCCCGGAGCCCAACCTCCGTCACAAAACTGTCCCCAGCACAGCAGCCCCTCTGAGCAGCGGCTCTGTCGGCACGCATGGGCAAACAGCACGGCCCGTGGCTGGATTCCCACAGACCCCGGTGCGGCCTTCCGTCCTTCACTCCCAAGATCGAGGGTACAGACAAGGCTTTCCTCCCAGACCACATCAGCCCCAGGCCCCGAGTATCTCTCAGAGGACACCAGGAAATGACAACAGCATCTTTGGACCAGAGGAGAGCCCCGTGTTGCTCCCCCCAGAGACTCCTCGAGAGCCCTCCCCCACCACCTTACCCTTCATTCCAAATTTGGACCGTCGGCCATACTTGTTGATCATGATGAAGAGAACTACCAGCAGGACGCAGGCAAAAGCAGCCAGTCCAACCGCAATGGACACCTGTGAGGGCCAAACACAGACAGTCAGGACCGGTCACCGGAATCCCAGGGTCTTCAAAGTGCCACGCCTGCCCAGGAGGAAACCATCCCAGCCTGAGGATTGGAATGACCAGAGTCCCGCCTCACACCTAGAACCTCACTACTGAATAAGAGCCTTAGAAGAAGGCATTTCTGAGACTCAGAGACAGCTTCTATCTTTGTTTTTAATTAAAAAATGGAAAATTAACCCCACTTGATTAGAGAAAAGTTCCACGATTCAATGTTCCTTTCACCTACAGGCCATTGTAGAGACACACAAGCAAATCTAGAGGAACTTCTATTATTTTAATTAGCCAGCAGGTTCTGTACCCTCGTGCCCTGTTATTCCTCTCTAGGAGGAGCTAGTAACGACTCTTTTGCTTGCCTTCCCAGAGAAAATCCGTCTTGCAGAGATCAGGGCTCAGAAAACCCACCCAGGAAGGCTCCTGGGCTGCCCAGACCTGCGCAGAAGGCAAGGGGCAGTTAACGGACTGGCTAATTCCAACTCGTCCTTGGAGGCTTCCACACACAAGGAGAGCTGCATCCGTCAAATGAGGAAGGTCTCCTCCCAGGAGGTCATTCTCGCTTCCCTCTCGCTCGGTACCAAGGTCCCCAGGAAGGTAATATTTGGGAAAGCCAGCGGCTCGACGGCAACCCGAAAACCGTCTGGACAAGAACATGTTCCTCCTCCCCTAACAAGGGACTCACCCCAAAAGTGTCTTCCTCTGGCTTGTGGGTCACAGTGATGGGGGGCGTGGGGCTCACTTCAGAGTCTGAAAAGCAAACACACACACACACACACACACACACACAAAGAAGATTACATAGCTGATAGGGGCATGGGAGAGTCGCCCAGAGTCTCTGCCCGGCCCCTCCCCTCGACGCCAGGCCCTTCATCCACCCGGCCAGCTCCTAACTCTACCCAATGAGGGTTCTGGCCAGGATACAGGACTTGAAACGCAGGTGAGAAACCTTAGTGAGTTTTTCAGACACCCCCCCGGCTTTATCCAAACAAGTGAGATCCTCAGTAGGGGCCCGCCAGGACACAAAGACCCCCACCCTCGCCACGGCCAGATCCACCAGGTGGATCTCAGAAAACTCCCTGGGAGAAACTGCGGCCCGGGGCACTGACCCAGGGAAAAGCAGGCCCCAGACGGGACTGTCCCTTTCCCCCATTTCCTTCAGAGACCCTCAGTCATCCTGTAGGTGAGGATGACGTGGAAAGGGAGGATTGGGGTCTGGATTCGGTCGTTCATGGAAACTCTCAGAACGAAGGGGACTTACCGAAATCAAAGATGTCTGTGCTCTCTGAAAAAAAGAAGAAAGAAAAGACGAAGAGGTAATTATTCACAAAGGTCATTAAAAAAACAAAAACAGATGAGACCCGCTACGTCAGCCCCACCGTGACGGCCTCTCCCACTCTCCCAGGCCCCAAGCCCCGTCCCACAGCCTCACACCTGCACCCTTCTTCCCGCGGGGCAGTCGCTGCCTCTGGGGGAGGGAGGGGGCCGCCCTCCGGACAGGGACAAAACCAGAGAGGAGGCGGTCCATCCAGGAGCTGAGACCGGAAGTTAAATTCTAGTTCCCAGGCCAGCCGGTGCCCCCTCCCTGCTTCATGATCAGAGCAGCGGAGGCGCTGGGCCACGGGATGACGTGGCTCCCGTGGGTCCCTGGTTGCCCCACAGACCCTGCCCCTCCTACCGAGGGATGGGTGCTCTTTGAGCTTTGGTCTCTGGACCCAGATAGCCTTGGAAAATAAAGCTAGTCCTTAACTAGACATCGATGATGAGCTGGGGAGGTAGGGGGGAGAGAAAAGGGATACCGAGCGCTTCAGGCAACATGTACCAGGCCACTTTGGTAACCCTCCTCACATTTGGACCGCATTGTCTCGGCAAATCCCGAAGCGAGCTTGCCGAAATTAACTGGCTGCGTACCACTCATCTAAGAAGAGGCTTTGGTGGCAGTCAGATCGTAACCGACGGGCTCTGGGTGGGTCTACCAATCAATGGGAAGAATCTTCCAGATTCTTTCCCTCTCCAATAAAGGAGAATTTCCTGAAGACATGGACTACTGGGAGCTGGGGCTGGGGAAATACAAGGCGCACCTGGAACCGCCCTGGTTCTAGGAAGAAGGAAAGGGCTCAAGGACCCAAGGGGCCAGGGAAGAGGAAACGGGTGTCAGCGGAAAGGGACGCTCACGGTTTCAGGGTTGCCAGGCAGGATAATTTGCCATCGTGGATTGTCAAGGACCAAAACCCGTGTGTCCCCTCAAAATCCACACATTGAAGGTGCAACCCCCACTACTTCAGGATATCACTGTATTTAAAGACAGGGTCTTCAATTAAGTAGCTTAAGTAAAAAGAAGCAACTGTGAATTTGGCCTCTAATCCAGTAGGACCGGTGTCCTGATGAGTGAAGCCCAGCACAGACATCCACAGAAGGAAGGCCACGTCAGGACGCTGGGCGAAAGACAAGGGGACAAGGCCTCAGAAGACACTGACTTTGCCAACTCCTGGTCTCAGATGACCAGCCCCCAGAATCGTGAGGGGCAAGAGACAAGTTGCTACCCAATCTATGGCGCTCCCCTGTGATAATCCCACCAAACAAACACAGGAACGGCAAACATGCCCACAAAGCCACACAGATACAAATACGTCATTGAACAACAAAATGGCGAGGGCGGGGGGGGGGTGGAGAATGAGGGCTCTCCCACGGTAAAATCCCTACAAATAAGGTAGAAGAGGCGAGGATGGGAATAAAAAACCGAGCATTTGGTAAATTCCAAGCCTTTGCCAAAGTTGGGCAAGAATTCAGGCAAGAATCTTCGTGCTTAAATGTCGAAATGAGTTCACAAAAGGAATGAAGAGAAATAATCCGGGCAGATCTCAACATGCGATTCTTAGTAATTGCAAAAAGGGAAAGAGTCGCCGTAGCCAGGTGATAGCGTCAGCATCAGCCCCACGGTGGGGTCTGCTGGGACCCACGGCAGACCGGGAGGGGTAGAGCATGGCTTTGGTCGTATTGTCCCCAAGGGTGCGTAACTAACAACTCAGCCAGGTGGACACCGAGGCTCAGAAAGAGCAAACTCTGGGACCCAGGGACTCCCACATGTAAAGGGCTGGGTGGACCTTCTCCACCCTTCCTACCTGTCATGTCTGTGTGTGTGTGTGTGTGTGTGCGCGCGCGCGCGCGCGCGTGCGGGCGCAGAGGCTGCACGTGGGCAGCGGTGTGTCCCTGGAGGCTTCGACGCCAGGAAGAGGGCGTTGGGTCGGGTCGCGCGCCGCTCACCTGGAAAGGGCTCCTTGAGGAAGTGGCCGCTGATGGTCTGGTTGGCCGTGCCCAGTGGGTTCTTGACCACAAGGGTGTAGTTGCCGTTGTTGTAGTGCGTGGGCTTGTTGAAGAGCAGGCAGCCCTCGGCGACCTCGCCCTCCTGGTAGAACTCCACGTGGGTGATCTTGGACTCGCGCAGCGGCTGCCCGTTGTGGAGCCAGTGCAGGGTGGGCGGCGGGTTCCCGCGGACCACGAACTCGATACAGTGCTCCAGCCGCACCTCCGGCTCCTCCAGGCTCACCACGCGTGGGGGGTCTGGGTGGGGGGGAAGGCCGGCTGATGTCCGTGGCCCGCGGGGCCCCTGTGGCTCCCTCCACCCTGCGGGGCCCCTGTGGCCCCCCCCCCCGCCCGCCCCGGGGCGAGCTCTGGGAACGGGCCTGGGAGACAGCTCGACTCTCCTCCCACCTCACTCTGGAAAGGGGTGAGGGGAAGGGAGGTCCCGCCCCGCCCCACAGAGAGGAAGAGAACCCCCCGGGAGCTGGAGGGACCCCTGCCCTGGCCTCCTCTACTCAAGGTATTGTTAGGGGTTGGCCAGGGGCAAAACGGGCCCATCGGAAGCGCCTTGAAGAAGCGGTTGATTAGACGCACATCGGCTTCTCGGGGGCCGGGGGTCACTCACCAAGGGCTGACCTCTCAGTCATGCTACACGAGAGCTTCTACCCCCTCTCCAGCCTCTGTCCAACCTCCTCCTGGCCCCAGCCTCCCTCCCAGCCTCCTCCTAGGACTAGCTTCCTCCTGGCCCCAGCCTCCCTCCCAGCCACCTCCTGGCCTCTGCCTCCTCCTGGCCTCAGCCTCCCTCCCAGCCTCCTCCTGACCCCAGCCTCCCTCCCAGCCTCCTCCTGACCCCAGCCTCCTCCTGGCCCCAGCCTCCTCCTGGCCTCTGCCTCCTTCTGACCCCAGCCTCCCTCCCAGCCTCCTCCTGACCCCAGCCTCCTCCTAGCCTCAGCCTCCCTCCCAGCCTCCTCCTGGCCCCAGCCTCCTCCTGGCCCCAGCCTCCCTCCCAGCCTCCTCCTGACCCAGCCTCCCTCTCCCAGCCTTCTCCTGGCCCAGCCTCCTCCTGGCCCCAGCCTCCATGGCGGCCTCCGTGGTGGCAGGCACTCACAGTAGACGGTGAGGGGCACGCTGGCGTTGCTCATGCCCACCACGTTCTCGGCGATGCAGGTCAGGGTGAAGCCGTTATCCTCACTGGTCACGTTCACCAGGGTCAGGTTGATGGCGTGCACGTTGGTCCAGTTCAGATTTGTCTGAAAGCAGGAATCCAGAGACCGTGGTCAGCACCCACGGGGCACCTGCGGAGCTCACGGGAGAGCCGTGGGGGCAGGCGGGGCGTCTCACGGAAGCGCCCGGGCCGGGCGCCACAGTGCACAGTCACAGATCGCGTGGCCCTCACCCCGCCACGTCACGAGAGAGGACACGGAGGTGCGGAACGGTTGCGATCGCACGTGTCAGGTCGAAGTGGCCAGAGCCGGGCCCGAGGCTCCGTGTCTGTCCCGCGGGGACAGAACCAACTTCCCGCGGTTGTCTGTGACTGCAGGGTGGTGGGCCCCGCCTCGGTCGCCCTCCGGAGCCCGTGGAGCTCACCTGGTGGGTGTTGATGGACTGCAGGCCGGTGACCATCCAGTCCACGTCGGGCAGCGGCGACCCGGAGCCGTTGCAGGTGATGACAGCATTATCCCCTTCGCGCACCGTCAGGTTCACGTGGCTCACGCTGATCTCGGGGAGGTCTGGGAGCAGAGGAGAGGCGGGAAGGGTAGACGCACAAGCAAATGATGCCACTCGGGCAAGCTCCGTCCGCAGGTCAGCGGTGGACCTGCGAGCCTGGCTCAGGGATGACTCTGTTGTGGTTTGTGGTTGTTTCTCAGTGGCCGTGGGGGCCTGAACTCAGGGCCTGGGCACTGTCCCTGAGCTCCTTTTGCTAGTATTCTACCACTGTGCAGCCACAGCGCCACTTTGGTTTTCTGAATGGTCCATTGGAGATGAGAGTCTCACGGAGGTTTCTGCCCGGGCTGGCTTTGAACCGCCATCCTCGGATCTCAGCCTCCTGAGCAGCCAGGATGACAGACAGGCGTGAGCGCCCTGGCCCTGTGATGAATCTTCAAACGACCTGCTGAGATGCCTCGGCCCAGAGTCCCTGCAGGCCTCCAGGGACCGACCGCAGCCCAGGCCCTCGCTCGCTCCCGCACCGGGGATGTGGCTGTCCAGCTACTCAGCGCTGCTTTTGTTTAAAACGTGCGTGGTGGGGACCTTCCCCCCGGCAGCTTGCCCAAGACACAGGTGCCCGGGCCTGTCGCCAGACACCGGGCTTTCCTAGAGCCTGCTCTTGGGCCCTGAAATCTACGGTCCCATGAGCCTCTCCGAAGCTCGCCCGGGGGGGGGGGGGGGGGGATGGACGGACGGACGTCTCTGAGGCAGGCAGGGGCGCTTCCTTACCACACTGGCTGATGTTCATCTTGAAGAGCGGGAGCTGTGCGCCGTCGGGGCCGATGCAGTAGAGGCTCTGGGCGTTCAGCCTGGCCTCCCCCTGCTCCTGCCACAGCTGCATCCATCGAATATCACAGCTGCAGTTGAAGAAGTTCTGCTCCAGCCTCCTGCAGGCAAGAAGGCAGGGGGAAGAATCCCTGAACCCAGGACGGCCCCGTTTCCCCATTTCCTCTCGGGGGTGGAGACCCAGCCGCCCCCCCCCCGCCCCCATGCGGGAAGCAGGGGTTGAGCTGAGCGAGGTCAGGAAGGAAGAAAAAAGAATCATTTTGTTTTAAAACGGATGATCTCATTTTAATTAACATTAGCAAGGAGACCGTCAGAAGCCCTGAGCTGTTCTTCATCTCCGATTTCTCCAGCCCCTGCCCATCTCACCGAAAGTCGTAGCCATGACCATTCTCCATCGCCTTTCTGAGCTCACCTCCTACCTCCTCCCCCTCTCCTCCTCCTGCGCATTCACTAATACAACCCGGGCAGGCCTGCTTCAGGACCTTGGCACCTGCTGCTCCATCTGCCTGCCAAGCTCTACCCAGCCTATCTAACCAGACTGGCTCTGCTCCCACTCCTGCTCCCCCACCCTTCTTTCTAGAATTTGTCACCACCCGGGACAGCTTCGAATAGTCCAGTTTGTGTCTCTCCGATGATAAAACATTCAGATTATAAAAAATTCAGCTCAGAGGCATAGTCTATTTTGTTCATTGCTGAATCCCCCAGTACCTAAAGCATAAATTCTTCCTGAACGAAACTAGAGGGAAAGAGCGCGAACGAAGGAGATTTCCCCGGGGCAGTCGGTGGCTAGCTAATTCCAAGATATATTCAAAGTCCGGCCTGGGACCAACTCTCCTCCTCCGTGAGTTCAACGAGTCTTTAATAAGCACCTGTTTGCGCTCTGGCCCTGGGTTGAGTGCTGTTAATACAGAGACAATGGTCCCTGTCCCAGGAGCACTTGGCCTGGTGAACAAGGAAGAGCCAAATTCACAGCCCAGGTTCTCCTCCGGTTTCCCTTGTGACAAGCCGCATCACCTCCCTCCTGGATGGGGTTACTTGGAGGACGTGACCTGTGCCCATCGATCCGAACACCTCTTACGGCACAGGCCCCCGGAAGGCCCTAAGGCCTGGATCGTTAGGGGAACGCGATTTCCGGGGGCTCTAGAGGGAGTCGACCGGGCAGAGAGCGCTCGGGTCACCACGCTGAGACCCTGGATATTTTTGACAGCTGGCAGATTCCAAAATAGTTCTGCGTGCATCCGCACTTAGCGGCCTTCCGGAAGGAGCGAGCCAGGGCCAGGGGTTGGGGGAAGGGCACTGGTGCCTCATTCAGAGCAAGGGCACCCCATGGAGAGGACCCTCACTCACCCCCCACCGCTGGCCATCCGCACCCCTGGGGGCCAAATCGCCTGTGAGTCCCTCTGCACCCAGTGTCCTTGCAGAAAAAGGGGGGCAAGGGGCGCCAGACCTGGCAGATGCTCCTCTGCCGCAGGGCAGACCACAGACCAAGCTCGGTCTGTCCCGACTTTGAACCTCACGTGCTTCCCGCCCCTTCTCCCCCCTCGCAGAGTTCTGCGGGTGCCCAGGAGACTCGGGAAGGGGTAAGCGGGGACCGCTGGCTTCAGGGGTCCACGGAGGCAGATGCGGGGGGGAGCAGGGGAAGGACAGAGACGGGGATGGTGGTAGATGAGAACGGGAAAGCACAGGGACCCGTGGAGCTCACCCAGGAGGTGGAGGAGAGCACTGGGACCCCAGAGCTAAAGAACCAGCTAACGCCAGTTAGGATGACTCATGAGCAAGCACGCACGCGTGCGCGCGCGCACACACACACACACGGTCACCAGGCACGGGTATGTGGTTTGTATATTTCTCAAAGAGCAATGATGCAGAGCCTGGCTTGGGGCTGCGTCCACTCAGAATAAAGGACAGGACAGGGAAGGGAAGGGAAAAGGAAAGAGAAAGGAAAGGAGAAAGGAAGGGGGTGGATTAATTTGCTGCCACTGCCGGGCTGGCTGGAGGACACTGCGGGTCCAGATGCCTGGCCATGTGGGAACTGACCCACGGCGGCCTGGTCTTTGCCAGCTGCTCGCCTAACAAGATGTGGCCCTCCATGATTAAACAGGTATGGAAAAGACCAGACAGGCTCCTGGCGTGGACAGAGCCAGTGCGTCCGGAGGCTGGTGGGAGAGCGAGCGGAGACAGAGGCCTTGGGAGGTGCCACGGCCCGGCGCATCTGGCTGACCTGAGCCAGGTAACACCCACTCCCTCCCATCTCCTCTCTCCAGGGCCGGGTATACAGGACCAGATCCAGCCCCAGACAGGCGCCTTGAGCTCTGGTCCTTCCATGCCAGCCAGAGTCCCTGGGAAACTGAAGAACCTCGGGGCTCTATGAAGAGAACAACGCCCACACACCCCATGGAGGCCTTTTTGGTCTTGACCGGAGCGCCTGGGCATCCTGCTGAGCCAGCCCGCAATCGCCTGTCCATCCTGGCAGCGGCGAGGTGGACGCGTCCTAGGTCTAAGCCAGGCTCCCATGCCGGAGAAGGAGACTCCAGACAGGGCTGGGGGGGGGGGGGGGTCTGCAAAGCCAAAGCCCGGCTGGCTCTCGCTCACTCTCCAAGCTCCATTCATAATTCAGGCAGCCCTCTCAATAACACGGCACCGACCGCTCCAGAGAAAAGCTCTGCAATGCCCAGCAGCCTTGCCCCCCCCACATGGCCTGCGGCCCCATCATAGGACCCCAGGGGCCCCCACGCAGATGAACTCAGGCCATCCAGGCCCCAGCACGCAAACACCCCGCTCCTAAGCCAAGGCAGTGGCAGCGTTTAAGAGCATCGATCCCTCTTCTCCGCACCTTCATTAGTGGTGAGGCCCACGGCCACACAGGGGCCACATGGAGAAAACGGGGCAGGGGAGGAGGAGGGTAACAAATCAGTGCCACTGTCACAGAACACACAACCCAGCCCTCCCAATGCAGCAGCAACGGCTGGAAGGGTGCACAGAACACTCTTCAGGGAACTGGTGGTATATCATCCATCTCCTGGCCTCCAAACAGTGATGCCCAAATCCAAGCCCCAGAATCTGTGAATATGTCACTCTGGTCTCAGTGTCCTCGAAGACAAAAACCAGTACGGGGGGGGGGGGGGGGGGGGAATGGTAGTCAGCCAGCACTGGTACCCATGAGTTCCCAGGCTGAATTGAAACCCCATTGTACAACTGTTTAAAGAAAAAAAAATTAATAAATTTAATTTTTTTAATGGAAAGTTCTTTAAAAACCATACATTAACTTGTTGGCTAATGCAATGTATAGATCTGTGTAGCTCCTGATTTTCTTTTTCCCTCAAAATTACAGCATTCATGAGATACTAACTGGGTATCTGATAGCAAGGAATTGTTGGTTTCATGAGGTTGTACCTACAACACTCCACCCTTATCTTTAGAAAGAGATAACAAATATATGTGATGGAAATTTAAGAATACATTCACAGTTTTACTTATTTTTTTTTTAAGTAGATTTCTTGGTCAGGCAGTGGTGGCTCATGCCTGTCACCTGAGCTACTCAGGAGGCTGATATATGAGGGTCAAGATTCCAAGCCAGCCGGGGCAGGAAAGTTCATGAGACTCTTCTCTCCAATGAACTACCAATAAGCTGTAAATGAAGGTATGGCTCAAGTGACAGAGCACCAGCACTGAGCAAGAGAACTAAGGGACAGCACCCAAGTGCTGAGCTGAAGCCCCAGGAATGTGTGTGTGTGTGTGTGTGTGTGTGTGAGAGAGAGAGAGAGAGAGAGAGAGAGCAGATATGTGTGTATTCATGTGTATGTATATATGAGAGAGAGAGAGAGACAGAGAGGGGGGAAAGAGAGAGATTAATGAGGTCTGTCTGGATTTCGGGTGGGCTCTGGCCCACGTGAGTGAGTCTTTAGGAGCAAAAGGAGAAAAGTACAAAGGCCAAGGATATTGGGGAGTCAGTCGTAGAAGGGGGTAGAGGCCAAAATGATGCTGCTACAAGCCAAAGAACACCAGGAGCCACCCATAGCTAGAAAAGGCAAGGACGGTTCAACCCCAGGTCCTCTGAAGGGAGGGTGGCCTGGATCAAGACTTCTGTCCTCCTGAACAGTAAAAGAACTTTTGGTCGTTTGAAGCCACCAAGCATGTGCTGACTCATCAAGGCAGCCCTAGGGAACTGCAAGTAACGTCCTTCACCCCGGCTCTGGCTTCACACCTATGCAATGGGATGTCTGCGTTCCACACTCCTTTGGAAAGTTACCGGATTAACAATCATTGACATTGCTGAGCTTTGTGGAGAGGAGGTGTACGGAGGCCAGAAGTGGTTATTCTAGTAATGCTGTTATTAGCAAGACTGCTGAGAGCTTTCAAAATGATCATGCAAGGCGAAGATGGGGAGAAAGACTGTGCCATGATCAGCCCAGACCACTCATATCTTACCAAGTCCATTAAATCCGCAAATTACAGCAGAGGTAATTATCACTTTGGTTTTTAGAAGATGAAATATTCCCATCTGTTTTCATCACTGCCTGCTCCCTGTGTGGCAGATATCAAGGGAAGGCTGCGGCGGCACCTTAATGATCCTCTCAGAATGTCTGGAAGGTTGCTGCGTTTGTAGGCTGACATCCTCCTGGCATGGTCTGAACTCTCTCCCGGGGTGCCAGTCCACACTCCTGTCCTTCCTGATTCATCCTTTATCTCAAAGACCATCTCTCTGATCTTACTGTGATTGGAGTTTGGGAGGGAGGAACAGACAGGAAAACAATTAACACTCTTGCCAAAACCAGAACCTTCTGGAAGCACTGCAGTGCCAAGCCACACAGGGCCAGTGACCCCAGAGCAGTCCTGAGAGACAGTCTTGTTTCATTCAGGAGAACACCTGGGCAGGAGGGGGGTTGAGGAGCCAGGGGCTCCCCTCAACAGGCCACCCCCTCCCGGTCTCACCAGAGTAAAATGACAGGAAGTAGAGGAAAGGTCTTAAACCCATGGCAAGGGCTCTCTGAAATGGCTTGTTTTTCTTCTTGTGACTCCACTCTGGGGAGCCACCATCTCGAGAGTGGCTTCCGGACGGAAGATGCGTTTCTGAGTTCAGTGAGGGAAAGAGCAGACCCAGATGGTGTGAGTACCAAACACGCTCAGGCCGATCTGCAGATTGACCGTCTACCCGTCACGTGACCTGGCCTTGCTTGTCCGGGCCACAGGTCTCTCGTCTGGCAGAAATGGTTACGACAACGGCTTTGTGGTGGGAATGTCCAAGCACTGGCAGATATCGACATTGCTGGAGGCTGGACCTGTTCCTTTCTCCTCTGCCACCAGAACCGGAGTCTTGGCAGGGTCTACGGTGCCGTAGAGGATCGGGTTGGGGAGAGAACTCCTGCAGAGCCAGCGGGGTCGGGCAAGGGCACTTCCGGCTGCCCTGCTGGCCCTTCTGTCTCTACAGACGGCCACTTGGAGCCTCGCACTTCTGGCTGTGACTCTCCTGGCAGCCGTGGCCCGCCGGGCCCTTTTCCCACCTAAGACCCCCAGCTCACTCTCGGTGGAAATGCCAGACCCATCCGCAGCCGCAGCCTGCAGGCTCCCGCACACGGGCCTTGGCAGCCGAGATGGCACGCGGCAGATGGCGCCGCGCAGACTAATCAAGAAGTCAGACCAGAAAACACAACCCCCCCCACCACCACCCTCTCTTCCGTTTGCCAGAAACTGGGATTGTTTGGATTTTAATCATAGCCACAGCCAAGAGCCAACGTGCAGCCCCCTCCAGCCAAAAGATACATTTTTCCCACTCTCAACATTCAATTCTTCCTCAGTAGGGAAAAAAATAGACCCCTTCCAGGGAGATCATTCCTTCGGGGGGGAGGAGGGGAAGCAATGTATATTCTTCATTCTCCAAGATAATTTTTTTTCTTATTTACCAATATGACAGAAATAAAATAACTCTGGGGGCACCATGGCCCTCACACGCTGACTCACACTGCGAGGAATGTCTTCATCCCTCCGTAAATTACAACTCAGCTCTCGGGCGTATTGATCCCTGCAAAGATGAATGCACAATCCCATGACCCTCTGGGAGAGCTCCGACATTCTCTTTAAATATATATCCAGGGGAATAACTGTTTCTAACGCTCTGAGGAAACGGGTCACCGGGGCAGGACGCCATTGATTTCAAATCCCATGCACTGAACATTTCTACGACGTTCAGTGCTAACAGCAAGGCCTCTGACAACCCCTGAGGGGCCACTGTCCCCAGATTCTCCAAGGGGAGAGGTGGACATCCAGACCCGGGACTCCCAAGAAAGCCAGCCCCGTGAGCCCCTACCCCCATCCATTTGAGAATAGCCGTGCACTTCGGGACAGTTATCGAAGGACAGATCCCTGTATTGGAAGCAGATCAAAAGAAAAATACCAGCAGCAACAATTGGGCGATGGTCGATCACACTCCAAACCCCCACCCCCGATTTAATGGGTGACCTTAAACAAGGCACTTAACCTTGCCCTCCAAGGCAGCCAGACAGCCATCGTTCCTCCCTTACAAATTTAACACATTACTCCACCCAGTGCCTGGTGCAGAGGGAAGAATGCAGAGATCAGTGTTGATCGTGCTAGCATTATCCCCACCTCTGGTCCTCACCGCTGCCCAGACCTGAGCTCCTTCCTGCTCTAGAGCTCCCACCATCTAGCTGGCCACTCTCTCTCCACCCAGACCTACCTACACACAGACCTAGCCACTGGCCCAAGAGCTACCCACCTGGATAGGGGCAGACGCCATATTGCTCCCTGTGGGGGGGGCGGTGGAGATGGCCCCTCTAATACACCTTATAATATTCCTTCTCCTGTGCCTGCCTGCCTTTATGGCAGAGATGGCCAGGAAGGTTCCTCACAGATAGTGACTGTAGGAATCATGTTGGTTTACCCATATGCATGGGGTGATGTGACTCTGACGGTTGTGTGTGGCGCAGTCTCTTGTGGGGAGAGGTCTTGTAAAACAAGACGTATTTATACCTTTTGCCCAACTCGGGTAGGGATTTTTATTGGTGCCTGTCTAGATCTCAGCCCTACATGGCTAAGAATTCTGATCACCGCGCTTAGGACACCTAAACCAGACAACACCAAGAAGCACACATACCACTGCGTGAGTATCCTAAGCTCCCTACACGTTTCTTTGGCCTGTTTGTTTCGACTCTGTATGCAGCCCAGATTGGCCTTGATTGCAACCCTCTCGTCACTCCCTCTTCAAGTCCTGGGATGACAGATGTGTGGCGTCGTACCCAACTCTCGACACTGTTTTTTGTTTTTTGGTCGGTAGTGGGGCTTGAACTCTGGGCCTGGGCGCTGTCCCTCAGCTCTTCAGCTCAAGGCGAGCACTCTATCACTTGAGCTACAGCGCCACTCCGGGGTTCTGGTGGTTTTATTGGAGATAGGAGTCTCACAGTCTTTCCTGCCCGGGCTGGCGTTGAACCGCGAACCTCAGATCTCAGCCTCCTGAGTAGCTGGGATTACAGGCGTGAACCGCCAGCGCCCGGCTCAACACTGTTTTTTAAAGAGACGAACTCTGCATAGCCCTCTCCCTGGAACGGCCGTTCAAAGCCCCGTGTGGGAGAAGAGGCTCGTGAAGGCATCGATAGCACAGAAAGCTGTCCACTGCAGTGACCGGCGAGGAGGCTGGAAATGTTCTGGCTCTGGTGGCGGGTCTGAAAAGGTCAGGTTACGACGCCTCCAGGCAGAACAAAAGGTTGGGTGGGAGACCCACAACCTCTAGGTGGAAGTCCAGGCTCCTTGCTTCTTAGCAAGCACAGCAAAGCAATCTATGAGCGGCGAGTTTGGAGCTGAGTCACCAAGTCACGAACGCACGCATGGGCTCCGTCTCCCCGGCCTCACCCATTCCCTCTCAATTCACCCAGCCTGCGTTGTGCTTTTCCTTCTCTCCCAGCGGCAGACACCGATTTTGATCCATCCAGCCAACCTCTGTTTGCACAAAATGGCAGGCTGAGGTGAGGGAGCGAGACAAGGCTGAGCCCTCCACACCCCGATCAAAGAAATGCCTCCCCGCCCCCAAGGCCGTGACCACGCCCGGAGAAGGTGAGGAGGTACAATCTGGAGTCTAGGGGCCCGTCGTTCAAGCTCTCGCTCCAACACGGTCCTCTCTCATAGAAGGCAGAGACAGCCCCTGCCTCTTGTGAGCCATGAGAAATCTAAGGTTATGTTGGCGGGGAAAAGGGTAGCTGATAATGTTATAGAAGGATTGTTTTTTAACTCTTCATTATTATAACGTTTAATAGTATGACTCATTTCCTGCCGATCCTCAACCTAAGTTCTGTGAAGGGATGAGATCCTCACTGGGTGCCTGTGGCTCTCACCTGTAATCCTAGCTACATGGGAGGCTGACCACAGGAGGATCGTGGTTCGAAGCCAGGCCAGGCCAAAAAAGAGAGAGAGAAGTATGCAAGACCCCTTCCTCAACCTCTAGGTGAGTACCATGTGGGGTGACCACCATGCTGAGCCGCATGGAAGGCTGTGGTGGGGAGCATTTGAGGTTCCAGGACAGTCCGTGAGGTTCCACCTCGGTGGACCCCACCGTCCCCAGCCCCCCACCCCCCGCCCCAGCCACCGTCACGCTGTGTGATTCTACCTTCTGAAATACTGAGCTCACAGAGAGCATCAGAACTCAAGGGGCAGAGGGGCTTGCTCCCTTCGAATATAATAGAGTATGCCCTGCATCACCCAATCCAAGCCCCTTGGAGGGGGGCCAGGGGCTCCACAGACCCCAGGTTCCAGGGCCCAGCCCTTGTCTCCACCCAACCACTGCCATTGCTTCGCCCCCCCCTCCCCCGCCCAGCCCCGATGACAACCTTTTGAACCAACTTACAATTCCCGAAGACTCAGCGTCTGGAAGAGCTGCCAGGAGAGCGTGGTGAGCCGGTTACTGGACAGGTTTCTGCAGGAATTGACAAAGAAATGGAGAGGTTAAAAGTCAGAGGCGGCATCCGTGGACACCGGTAACACCCCAGCTCCCTCAGGTTTCTGAGATCATGGTTCGAAACCAGGCTGGGTAGGAAAGTCCATGAGACGAGAGAAATCTCCAATTAACCAGCACAAACCCAAAAGTGGAGCTGTGGCTCAAGGGGTAGCGTGTGAAAACAAAGGGAGAGTACCCGGGCCCAGAGTGCAAGCCCCAGAACCCACACAAGAATGACGCCGCTGGTTCTGCGGCGATGGAGCTCTTGGAAGTGAACTTGGTCACCTCCCCGCCCCCAGACACCCCTTTGGCTGATCCTTTTTCTCCTCTCCATTCTACTAAAGATGCCTCTGCTCATCGCTGTGCCTACAGATCAGTTTGGAAAAGGACGCTGAACCCTCGGAAAGGGCAAGGTGGTCGAAATCCAAAATAAGAAGAATAAATTTAAAAGTCTCAGTTATTCTCCCGCGTCCTCTCCCTTGGTAATAAAAGCTCAGGAAGGTGGCGGGGGTGGTGGGGGAGCTATTGAAGATGAAGACAGCCTTCTCTAGAGGACAGAACGCTGTGGGGGAACCCCAAGCCCCAGAGCTGCTCCTTCGTGTTCACAGAGGGGAGGGGGAGACCCACAGGTCACCCCCGCCCCTCCCAATCCCGCCCCACCCTGCCCCAAGCGATCCCATCAGCCAGATCAAGACATCTGCCTTTGTTTTCAGCTCTGCTCTCCTCCTAATGGCTATTTAATTGTCTTCATTAGGACACACGGTAGAAGGCAGCGGCCATTAGTCTTCTGAATAAAAGTAGAAACACGCCCACGGCTATTACTTTGCTCAACAAACAACTTCAGAGGTCCTAACAACCCTTAAAGGTGGCAGAAGTTAGAGACCTTAAAGGCGGAGGCAGTTAGAGAGCCTGAAGGCGGAGACAGTTAGAGATGAGGTCCTGAAGTGGTGCCTGGCGCCCAGTGAGCTCCCTCCTCTCCCGAGGGGAACCGATGGCCGCCCTGGTTCCGTGGAGGTGACTTCACACACACACACACACACACACACACACACACACACACACACGCGCACGCAGAGTCAGGTCACAAACGCAAACACCGGCTCCTCCAGCTTGCACACACACAGCTGTGCGTATGCCTATGTTGAGATGACCTCTGAGTGGAATCCAGGGTGAACCTTTGCGGGGAGAGTGGGGAGGAGAGATGAAGTCACTCTAGAACCTTGGATTTGACTTACAAATGAAGTACCAGAAGGGAGGGTGCAAAACCGCTACTTAAGTGCCCAGAGAAGCGCCTGCTGAAAAGCTCACGTAAGACCTGGGAGGAGGACGGAGAGCGGCTGAGAGGCAGGAAGGCAGGAAGGCAGGAAGGCAGGAAGGCAGGAAGGCAGGAAGGCAGGCAGGCAGGCAGGCAGGCAGGCAGGCAGGCAAGCAGGCAGGCAGGTAGGAAGGCGTGTGGAATGAATGAGCGTGAAGTCCGGGAGAAATGGGAGGGCCAGGAAGGAGGTGGGGCCAGGAAGAGAGGGGGCGGGGCCAGGAAGAGAGGGGGCGGGGCCAGGAAGAGAGGGGGCGGGGCGGGAACACGGCCTGGGGCCACACCCAGGCCTTGTGTTTCAAGGAGCAATGGAAAACATTGGGTGGTTTCGGAGTGGGGAGATGATATAAATTAATTATCTTTAAAAAAAAAAAAAAAAGGAAGCTGGGCATCCATGGCTCCCACCTGTCATCCTAGCTACTCAAGGCTGAGATCTGAGGATCACTGTTCGATGCCAGCCCGGGCAGGACAAATCCGTGAGACTCTTATCTCCAATAAACCACCAGAAAACCAGAAGTGGTGCTGTGGCTCAAGTGGTTGAGTGCTCACCTGGAGCTGAAGAGCTGAGGGACAGCGCCCAGGTTCAGAGTTCAAGCCCCATGACCAACAAAAGAAGATAGATAGACAAAAGAAAGAACAAATGGAAGGAAGAAAGGAAGGAAGGAAGGATTGAAAACAAGGATCCAAGCTGGGCATGGTGGCCCACACCAATAATCCTAGCATTTAAAATACTGAGGTAGAGCTGGGTGCCGGTGGCTCATGCCTGTCATCCTAGCTACTCAGGAGGCTGAGATCTGAGGATCTCCGTTCAAAGCCAGCCCGGGCAGGAAAGGCTGTGAGACTCTTATTTCCAATAAACCACTAGAAAACCAGAAGTGGCGCTGTGGCTCAAGTGGTAGAGCGCTCGCCTTGAGCTGAAGAGCTGAGGGACAGCGCCCAGGCCCAGAGTTCAAGCCCCACAACTGACAAAAAAAAAAATGAAGTTGGCAGACCACTTAAGATGCTGTTAAGTCTTTCCAAGGAGCCGAGTTCAGGGTAAGCGTTGGGGGTAGGGCCACCATCACGGACAGAACAGGGAAATCTGCCAGGTACCACAGCAAGGCTGTGAGCTTCCTCCTCCAGAACACCAAGCGGGGAAGATGGCAAAAGCGAGGGAGCCATTCGCTCGCCAGACGGACGCCGCTGGGTTGAGCATGTACTCAGTTCCCACAAGAACAGATATTCAGGCATGAGAACAATCCCAGGGCAGGGCCGGCTGGGCTCTCTCGGCCGGCCTGAGCCTAGGCCGGTCTCTGAAAACCCTGGATGGCTGTCAGGGAAGCAACTCCATGATGGAGGGTGAAGAGCGAAAGGAAGGGAAGGGAAGGGAAGCCGGGGTGCGTGGCTCCCAGGGTTACTTCTCCTGTCTTCCCAGGAGGGCTCCATCTCTCCCGAGATGTCCCGGATGACGGCACAGGCTGGCCAGGGAGCGGATCCCAGAAGACTGTTGGGATTATCGCTGTGAACCCCGGCCGTCCCCCACCCATGGGAGGGGGAGAAGGGACAGAAGAAGAGCCACAGTGGGGCCGCAAAAGGACAGCATCTTGGCCACACTCCCCACAGCAGCAGGTCTGCGTGGAGGGGGTGAGTCGGGAGGAAATCAAGTCGCGCCTGCAAAGTCAGCTACTCAGGAGGCCGAGACCTAAGTAAGGATCCTGGCAATTCGAAGGCAGCCCAGGGCCGGGAAATCCACGAGACTCATCTCCCATAAGCTCCTCAAAAAAAGGCAGGTGGTGCTGTGGCTCAAGTGGTAGAGTGATAGCCTTGAGCACAAAGAGGCTCAGAACCTGAGGTCAAGCCCCAGGACCAGATGGGGGAACACACACACACACACGCACCCCATCTCAGGGCCACTGCCCCTACCTAGTGACCGGACTGGGAGCTCAGAACTTGGGGTGGACAACGGCAGGCGTCAGTAATATGCTCTGAGTCTCTCCTGCTGTTGGCCTGTAGGGAGGGTTTGTCAATAAATCTCTAAGGTGCTCAGATCCAGATCTCCTTCCCTCCCTCGCTTCCTCTATCCCTCCTCTAGAGAGGGACAGAGATCCTCAAGAGATTCCAGAGACCACCCCACAGCCTCTGCCTTTAGTCCCGGAGCCCACACCAGTGCTCCCAGAAACAAAACCCACAGCCCAGCCCCCCAGGGGACCACGCGGCTCGCAGCTCCCAGGCTCCCTGGGTCCTGGGGGAGCAGCTGGTGGGGCTGGCGAAGCGGGAGGCAGGGGTGGACCAGGGGCGGGGAGGCAGCCTTGTTCCTCGGAGGGAGGGGCAGGCAGGCGGGCGGCCCTGAGGGCTGTGAGGAACCCCAGCCCAGAGCTGGGGGCCAGCAGTGCCCTCTCCGAAAGGTCACGCCTTGCTACATCAGGCAGAAATGTCAAGAGAAAATTGGATTCTGAAAGAGAGAAAATAACAGGCATTGTGGGCAAATAAAGAATAAGAAGTAGCATCGTCTCCTCCCGGTGACAAGAAAGTGGGGAGGAGGGGACCAGGGACACTCGGTGAAGGGGAGGTGGGCGGGGCTGTCTGGAACTCTGTCTCCTGCCCACCTCCAGGACCCACACCAAGAGGAGGGAGGTCCCTGGGGAGCGTCCAGCTCTCTGTTCAAAGACCGCAACGACGGCGTTCAGGCCCTCAGTCCCCACGCTTAAGACGTGCTCCGGGACAGGGTCCCCGTGCTGTGTAGGTCCGGGGACAGATACAGAGTGTAGGAACACCCAGCCTCAGAGCTGCCACAGGCCTTCCCGCCCAGCCAGAGCTGCTGCCTGGGCTTTCCAACCAGCTGCCCCTCACCTGTGCTCCTCCATCACCGGTTATCGGGTTATCGACAAGCCCAACCCCTCGCTCATCAGACCAGAGTTTAATTAAGAGCCACCCTCCCCCTCCACGCCCTCCTTCTGATCTGTGATTACCCGCCCCTGCCTTCCACCTGAGTCAGGGGCCTGCGTCCAAGCCGCCTGACCGAGGAATCCATCTGGGGAGCAAAGGTTTGACGAGACGATGCATCAAACACTTTCCCCAGACCAAGCTCCACGATGCTGCCCCCCACCCCCACACGCACACCCTCCCCTCCCTGTCTCATCTGAGACTGCCAGACAAAGCCATTCATTTGGCCTTGCACAACTGGCTCTCTGACAGCCAGGCTCTGGGGCCTGGTGATAAGTGACGGTGATGATGATGGTGATGATGATGATGATGATGATAGCACTGGGTGCTCTGGGCGCCAGGAGCCTGACGCCACCCCTGAGGGCAAGCTCTAGGCCCTGAGAATCGACCAGGGGGGAGACAGCCAGTCCTGCATAGACCCCCGTCCTGGTTACTCTCCTCCTCCCTGGGGAAAGCAGTCTCAGTACTCTCTGGGGAAGGCACCCAGCCCCAGAAGGGCTCTCCGGGGAGGTCACCTGCCCCCAGGGCCCTAGGACCCCTGCTGTCCTGCCACAAGGGCAGCTCGATGGACTGGTAGATCGAACCGCCGAGAGAACTCGGACAGCTGCGTTCTTCTCGGGCCCTAAACACACTACGTTGTCAGGGGTCGCAAGCGGAGGACGGTGCTGGCGGCTCTCCGCGTGAACGCCACGCGGGCGGCTCTTCCTGCAGGAGACCCCTGGCTGCAGTGGGTTCTGGAGGTCAT